ACAGAGATCATTAAAAATTTAACTAAAATGACATGTTTTAGAAAATCCCAGCTACAGTAAAAATACCAACTGTATGTAATAGAGGTGGACAATAAATCACACTTCCTTTCTGCTTAATACTGCCTTTACCAAGCTTCATCTTTAAAGTATGATCAGCCTTCAAAAATTAGCCCAGATATACAGCATCCTCTAACAGAATCTTTACTTTGACTCTACATGTTGTTTCCCACGTAGGTGTGCCATCCACTGGCTGATATACTGGCTTTATCCTTCTCCACACCCAATCCACAGCAGCTCTGAGCTTCAGCCCCCAGCTTCCAGTTCTTAGTAAGTATCTTCATTTTAGACATCTCATGTCTGATCTCCGGGCATCCTTAAGACAGCAGTTATAGAGCTTCTGGCTGCTGAAGAAGAACTGATGAACTACATTCAGTGCCCTAGATGTAACAGTTCTCTTTCTGTTCCATTTCTGAAACCACAAAAATACTTGTCATTGTATAACTGATAGTAGAAGAGAATATGAAAAGCTACCTACACTACTAAGTGCCTTCTAAAACTGAAGTGTGAATTTCATTCTAAATGAAGGATGTGTGGAAAATTCTAGGGAAATTAACTTTTAAAACAGTAAAATATCAAGGATGAGACTGAAATGGACTCAGTTCATTGCACTGGAGGTGAAACACTTTGCTTAAATAAATAAATATGAACCAAGCCACAGATCAATTTTGACATTGAGGTATTCCAGATGATCATGATGTTTGCTCACCTGGAAGAAAATCAGATCCCTGATCCCTCACCAAAGTTTACATGAAGTGGAACAGTGTTATCAGAAGAAACTAAACACTATACAGTCTTTATAGTCAGCTTGGTTTGCTCCTTTTCTTTGTAGAGTGGTATCAGCTTATTATACAGTCCATCCCATATAACTGCTGGAATATGGCTTCATCCTTGAGCCAGACAGTCCTCACTGCTGGAAAATAGTAAAAGTCAAAAGTTTATCTCTCCAGGATCCACATATGTTCTACATCATGGATGTGAACCACATTTTCCTCACTACCCCTTCACACACTTCCAAGAGTAGTCTAACAGGTCTTGGGATCTCTTCAAGAAGCTGGGAATGAGGTTCACACTACTTCCGCCAGCAGTCAAAGCATGATCTATCGTAAGTGATATGCCCCCAGGTCCTGCACAACCCATATACAAGCAAAGCTGAACTATTTAGGATTGAAACTGTGTCCCTCTCTCATTTACCTCCAGGCAAAATAGAGTTTGGCAGGTGGCAGTCCCTGAGGAACGCTTTTGCTCAGCATAGCCCTTTGCTTAGTCCTTGTTGCTCAGACAGATTCTTAGGATTGTGGCTCACATGATTTCCATGTGAAACATGAGCCTCTCCATTGCATCCTGTGGGAATCCTTTATGATTTATTTGAGATTGAAAAGTCTGGTTGGCAACAGGACATGTGGTAGTTATGCAGTTAGTACATGACGAGCTTTATGTCCCTTCATGGCTGTTGGCCGTGGAAAGTCTCAGTGCAGTCTGTGAAGTTGGGGTGTGATGTTTGCCTACCTGCTTGAGCTACTCTGTGAGCCCCAGCCCCAGCTTAGCTGCAGCCCCACAGATTTAACACCAACCTCCAAGAAATACTAGTCACTAAGTAGAGTAGATTGCACTGGGCACCACACAGCCTTTCACCTGGAGCTGGATGATGTTCAGATAGCGTGCAGTAGAGAAGATGCGTTTAATTAACATCTGGCTATGTGTTACATGTGCTGGTGGCTAAGCTGAGAGAGGCCCAGAGAGCAGAGGTAAGGTAACAAGTGCCAAAGTATTTTTTAAAATGGAGTTTGAAGTCTGGCTTTATTAACGCTGATGGGTGCAGAGAGATTTTGATACATAGGAGGACCTAATCCTTAATCCCAAAAGTAATATAAGACACCTTCTAAAAAATATCCGGCATCTAATTCATAGAAAACTTACTTCTATAGCAATACATGCCCATCTATCTTTAAAGAAACAGAACTTCACCCTTGCAATGCTGAGGAAAACAACACATGAAAACATGTTAAAACCCCATGAGACTGCTGGTCCAAAGCTTGAAAATGCTATCCTCTTTTCAGCTTATTGATAGTTTGAAAGGTAAGGCAAGGCTTTCACATCTGCATTTAGTTTCTTAAGTAAGCAAACAGTTCTCCTGAAGCTTTGCACACTCAGCAGCTCCTGCTGACTGGCATTAACGACATGGCTTTGACAGGCAAGTGCATGCTGAAGAGCCACAGAGATACAAACAAAATTCACAGAGTGGGGCTTGGTGGGAGCAAGACCTGGTCTTGTTTCTGGTCTACAGCAGCACTGTGTAAAATGCTACTTTTTCACTACTACAGCATGGTACAAGGGTCCTTGTTTAGGAAAAGAAATAAATAGAAACATGCAATATCTTTAAAAGGGGCATAGAAACCAGTGAAACCCAGTATCATTGATAACAGTGGTTATTATTGTCAGGCAGGTTTGAATCACATGGAATTTTTCACGCACCTACAATCATGCTGCATTGACCAGTTTTCTTTCAGCCTAAGGGAATTTTGAAGGAACCATAATTTTCCTGAGACAGGTTTATTAAGTTGGTGGGGAAAGCCATATAAGACACACCAAATAGTGGCCAGCCTTCTACCTATTATATGCACAAGTGCAGCCTCAGGAGTCCTGGTTGTGCTTAACAGCAAAAGTCTGCTTCTCACAAGAGCCGCTTCATCTGCTGTCCCCAAAACAGAGCTTCAGAAGCTATGATGCCAAACAAACTTGGGCTGAGATCAAAGCACAGATCTACACGACTTGTATGATAGGCATGATAAATGGGAGAACAATTGAATCTGATATTTAGGTAGATAGAACTTTTGATGCCTAATTTAGCAGTTTTGCTTGTCCTGAGAGAAAAATTGTCTCTAGGAAACTAGAACAAGAGAAAAAAGTGAATTTTGCTCAGTATAACTGGGAAAATTCCCTGCCACTTGTACCTTGCTCTTTGTTTTCAATACCTCTGTTTTATGTGACAAGATGTGAGAGTGCATTTCTCTCATGCAAGGGTCAAAAGAGCTCTGCCAAGCAGAGCCAGTAAGAAAATTTCAGTGAACACGCGAAACTGAGGTGAGGTGAAGCAAAAGACATTTTTAACTACGGGGTGCACAAAGATGTCTGTCCTAGTGATTTAATTTCAGCAAACCAGGAATCAAGGAGCCAGACTTCTGATTAAATTTACACTTGCAAAACAGGAAAACCCCTACTTTATCTCAGCACACATTCAGCACGCATTTGGATCTGATGAAACTGCAGACCAAACCAATATGGTGAAACAAAACAAAACAAAAGTATCCCACACAAGGAGAAAGGCAAAGGGGCTGTTTATTTGTTTACCAATGCATAGAAAGACAGACCATGTTTTAATACCTATTGGTATTACCATCATAAGTAATCCAGCTAAGATCATCTTTTCAGCATTGACAGTTACACTGGTGAATTTGGTGTTGCCAAATGCTAGTGTTTATACCTCTGGAACCATTTGCTATGACTTTCTCCACACTTACTGTGACTTGCAGGAGTAGGCAAATCCTAAAACATTTGTTCAAGATTATATGTGCAATGGTGCTGCTGCTTGAGCTGCATTAAGAGCTTCAGATGCAAGGTGTTGGATATCCTGGTCAGCAAGGGAGAAACACAGGTAGGTCAACAGACACAAATAGCTTCATGAAACTGCTGCTCTGTTTTCTGTCTTAACTCCTTCTTCTGTTTTCTTTCCCTAAGCACAAAGGGCTCAGTGGTTCCCCACATGAGCAGCCCCACTTGCCAGGCTCTAACTTGTTAGAGCTCAGGCTGCATCCCCTTTCCTTAATTCTCCCAGTGGAAGCCCCTGGTGAGTCGTGAAAGGGAGTTTTCCCACTAAGAAGCCTTCTGCTTTGCTCCTAGGACCGGGAGACAGGAGGAGCCAGCCATGGAAGTCCTACCTGCACCTCCTCTCGCAAGGAGTGAAAGCTCCATGAGCATATTGTCTTAGAAAAAGGAAATTATGCTCATTTTCCCTTTCTACCCCCATCACATGAGGGGCTTTGCCATTAAAAACATGATTGTGTTTTTTTCCTAGAGAGGAGGGGTGAAGCAGGGGGTGGGGAAATTGTCCATGTACTATAACAGATGGCTTAAGTTCGGTGATTACAAAATCCTGAAGTTAAAATAGTTTAATTACAAAGTCAATACTGCCTCCAACCTCTGCTAAGCCTTCAGTGTAAAAACAACAGACGGTATAGTGCAAATGGTAGGACAATATTTAACCAGAACTTTGCATTAGCTACTGCAGTACAGCTCTCCATCAGGCCTTCAGCAAACGGAAGATCAACTGATTTTCCCAGATTCTATTTGTTAACCATCTCTGCTTCAGTATCAATGGCTGTGAGAGAGCCACAAACAACTTTAAGGAAACAAACTGCAAGACTAATACTGCAAGCTGGGGCTCAGCAAGGTTGTATGTAAAGTCCAATATTACAAGCATACAAATGAGACAGTTATTAGCACCTTACCAGGAATGAATACAGAGGCAAAAAAGCTGTTCTGGTAAAGTTTTCATATATAAAATGAAAATAAAATTTAGTGAAATAAGCAATGCTCTATTTTAGACTGGATTTTATAGAAAAAATAAAACGACATGGGAACGTACAGGGAAAGGACAATTTGAGGATGATTTCAAATGGCACAGATTTTATCTTTCACATGCAAGGAAAACAGCAACTCTACAGCATGTTGTAGGAAAGCCTTGCTAAGCTGTGCTCTTGCAGCTGAGAGCTTTTTTCTTGGTCTTTGCTGAGTGTGTATGTATTCTATGTATTCTTTAACAGTGACAAACCCTCCCTCTGTTGGCTTGCAATCCTTATAAACATCAACTCAAACATGGAGCCCAAAGAGTTAGAGGAAGTCTGGCTCTTCTTTATTTGCAATATACTAAAATCCAGTCCCATCTGCTTCTGTCATGATACAGCATAAGATACTCACTATCCATGCTACATACAAAGTGCTGTGAGGCACTGCCCTGTTACCAACCTCCATGGGTAAAAGTAGGGTTTGGCAACCTGGTGACAAAGAGATATGAACTCATGAAAGTAAAAGCAAAACTAGAGATCAACAGCTTTTCTAACCACTCATCCTCACTGACCCCTAGAATAAAATGAGAACTTAAAGAAAGTGGGAAAACAGTCTCAAACAATGACACTTCAACATGGAGGAGTTCTCACAATTGTGTTACCCCTTTATAATTCATTTTACAGAGTTTGAGAGACAAAGAGTAACTTTGGGCGTCTCAGAGCATATTTGCTAAGTCAAATAACAGTTTCTAGTAGCCAATCTCTTTCTCTGGGGTTCTTTATAATTAACAACAGTCAGGACAGAGAGGTGCATTGGCTAAGATGGGGGAAAAGGGCCACCCTAGTGAATCTGAAGGAAAATCCTCTTTAATCATTAAGAGGAAAGAGGAAACATTCCTAAGTCCTGATCATGCAGATTGCTGCATATTCCAAACCTGCTTTCCTCAAGTTAAATTTACATATACAAGTAGATGCACTGACTTCCAATTAAGAGTAAGTGCAGGTTGAAGTGCTTCATTTCATCAGTGCGGAAATGATCTTCTGTAGTAACAGAAAAAAACATAAACTAATGTTCTGTTGGAAATCATACCATGACTCTGGCATAGCACTGACAACACATAAGCAATTTAAATTATTTCTTTGCATGAGTATAAGATATTTGTATTTGTTCCTAGAATATGGCAAGAAATGGTTTTGTTACTATTTGTAACAGCAAATAGCCCTTTAGAGCATCTTGTAGAGGCCTTCTGAACTTCTAGTAATCTCTTTTTATTCTCATACTTCCTTCTGTTCTTTACCCTGAGCATGTACTTGTAACATAGGAAATAAATCCAAAGAAATAAGACACGGACACAACATTGCAAAAAATCTTAGGCCAGAGCAGAACCTACAGGTTTGTGTCTTCATGGGAGCTCTGCACTCTGAAGACATCTGATTTTGCTCCTAATTTGTCAGCAAGGCTTTGGATGCATACTGTCAGCACAAGGACTACCAGTGCTGTCATCGCTGTTATCGGTGCTCTCAAACTGCCTGGTGACAGTGCCAGGGATTATGGCCCTCCTGTGTGGGCAGCTCCTCAGGTGCAGGAAGGAGGATAATGAAGGCAAGTTGTCACCACCCAAAGCTCACCCTCCAGAAGTTTGGAGGGGGAATGGCTGTGTAGGGTTGTTGAAGGCCTCACCAAAAAGCAGGGGATCTGAATTCAGCCTGAAATACACCTGTGTGTCAGGAAAAAAAATGCATTTTTAGTAGAGGAAGATATGTTTTTAAAAGTTAAGCAGCGGAAAGCCTGTTGTTGTAGACCTGACTGTTCTTTGTCCTAACAAACAATTACCCAGGGCTATCTCCTGACTGGTCGACTTTTGTAATCCATTAGAAAGTGATGCTGTTGCATGACATGATCAAACACCAAATGCAGCAGAAAGGCCATAACTATATCTAAAAAGCCTTTGTTTTGTCAAAGCCTTTCACTAATGCTGGCAACAAAATTGTTGAGGTTTATAATGAGCTGATCTCTTGTCAAATAAACTTTGTTATGAGCAGTGTTAAACTTTATATCTGCTTTTAAATTAAACACTTTGGTTTTATTAATGTTTCCTTTCCTCTCCAAATTTCTTTGTTGAGGAGAGGTGCCAGAGGAAATGTATTAGCAACAGTAGGATATGAAGTATAGTTTAGAATACATTAAACGTATGTTGATGAGGCCATTAGCAGAGTTTATAGATACTACCACCTGTCTCTTATTCCACTTGCCATTACTTTAGTGGCAGAAAACATACTCTAAGAGAGGTGATATGCTACCATTAAATCTTTACTCCTGTATTAGAAGAAACATAGTAGCAAATTCATGCCTTATTGCTAAAAAGATTTTCCAATAATGGCTCATTGAGATAAAGCAACCTGAATAAATAAGGGGGGAGGGGGAGGAGTAGGAGCTACAGAATAAACATCAATCTGGTTTGGGATGCTAGAGAGACACTGAATATCTGAGAAGGAAAAACTTTGCCATTAGAAATGTGAGGGGGCAGTTAACATTTTACTTGTTTCTTTCAAGCTAGCAAGTGCATCCCTTAAATCAATACTGCAAAAGGCATTCTTAGGCCTACCGAATGTAGGCATGGGGGTTTTGCCTGAAAGACAAAATAAAATGGAATAAAATATAAAATAAAATTTAATAAAATAAAATATTATTTAATTAAATAAATACATTTTTAACAAAACAATACAAAATAAACCAAAACTAAACTAAAATAGTAAAATAAAGTAAAATAGATTAATTAAAGGTAAATAAGCGCTGGCATCACAGGCAGCCGGGGCAGACGATACCGTCTCGGCCCTGCGGCGCCCCTTAGTGGGCGCGATGCGGCACTGGCGGCCCCCGGAGGGTGGTGCGGAGCGCGGCGCGGAGCTCAGGACCGTGCAGTCGGCGCCGCGGAGGAGCCGCCGGAGGGGCGGAAGAGAGAAGCTCACCGCCGGCAGCAGCTTTGCTAGATCTTACTGCCCCCGGTGCTTGCCGGCTTCCCGACTGGGCCTCCCGACGGGGGGGAACCCGAAAAGCGCCTTTGGCGTCATGGGGAAAAGGGGCGCAACGAAGCGGCTTCTCCAGGCCGAGGGAAGGAAGACCACAAGCGGTAGGGAGGTGGCTGGTGCAGCATCGCGCGACTGCAGGGAGGAAGAAAAAGATAAAAGTGGCAGTGCTGAGGTGGGGAGAAGGGAGGAGATCAGGCAAAGAAAGACCTGCAGGCTTCAAAGTTGTGCCTCGGAGGTGGGCAAATCGCGAGTGCATCAAAAAAGGTCGAAAACCCCATTTCTAAAAATCTGCGTCGAGTTTTCCGAAAGCTTAAATTGAGAAAATGTTCCTCATCTTCCCAGAAAGAGCAAAGCCTCTGCCCAGCCTCTCCTGCATCTGCCGGGGCAAACGGGGGGAGTCCTGATCACAGCAGCCCTCGTCCCCCCAAGCTCATCCGCCGGATCCCGCTGCACAGACACCCGTGCCGATCAGCACCGGCGGAGGGGAAGGGATGCAGCGCGCTGCAGAACAGGTACCGGCACAGCCAGGGGTCAAAGTCTATTCACTGTCCTTTCTGGAAAGGAAGAACGTTGGGAGCCTTGCTCCCGGCCGGCTTTCAGCAGGAGAAGCCTCAGGTTTGATCAGGAGATGGCAGCACCGTCCTGGAAAGCTGGAAAACCTCCCACGCTAACACCCCCTGTTCGAAAAATGGCGGGAGGCTCAGGGAAGCAAAGCACCCTTGTGCCCACTGAAAGTAGAATGTAAAAGGGGGAAACACGTTCGTGTCGAGGAAGTACTTTAACTGAATTGCAAAGAACACATTTAAAGATCAAAACTGAAAATGCTGCTGTGCATCACTGGAGTCCTTAAGCATGATGCTGGCAGCACGCCCTTCTCCAAAACATTGCAACTAGAGAAAAAATCCCACAAAAGAAGAAGGCCCACAGATACCACTGGAGACTTCTTTGCTTCACTGCTGCTTTTATTTGTATGGAAGTATGGACATAACGCTGACAGAACTATAAAACTTTACAGTACAAAGGTAAAACTGAAATTTCTCTCCCCTCATTTCCAGTATTTGCTTTGAATGGGTGCAAAAAAAAGATTATTTAAAAAATCTGTCAATGTGTTAAGTAGGGCTTTATGTCAGACCAGCAAGGAATCTGTTGCTAGATGCACACAGAGCTGATGCAGTTTTGCTGTAATCTTTGCTAATTTCATACCAAAAGAAAAAAAAACCAAAAAAACAAAAACAAGACCCCCAAAACCACACACACACACAAAAAAAAAAACAAAACAAACCACCACAAATCTGTAGAAAACATGAAGTACCTGCAGTGAGCTTGTTGTAAGTCAAACCAGCCTGGGCATAACTACAGTCACTGCAGATGGGCTTTTTCTGACTTACTCCTTGATGAGCTTTCAGTTGGCAGCTGCAGGCAGAGGTATCATTTTCAAGCCATGAATTTTGCTCCTCTCCTGCCCCAGATTCTAGTTTTGCTGAGCCTGTGACTGAGGAATTCCCACAGTCCTGCAGGTGTTGCCAGGAAAACCCCTTGCAGTTCATTAGGTGGTGCTGAAAGACTTTGCTGAAAGTGCCATCGTGTTGACCCTTTCAGCGTTTACTACAGCTCGTCCACCTGAGTTCTTGATGAGGGGAGATGCTATTGAAAAAGCTGTTTGGAGTTTGTTTAAAACCAACTCTGGCACCCCAGCCAGAGTCAGAACCTTTTGGTATTCACTGAATACACAAATAAGTGCATGTAACCCCCTTTTTTTTTTTGCTCTCCAACATGTTCATAGATCCATCTTATTTTCTGTCTTTTTTTTTTAGTATTGAAAACATTCAAAGAGCATAGCAAATGGAAATTTAAGGTTTAGCCAGATTGTATCAATTGTTGGTATTGGAACATCAATGGAGAGCAAACAAGTTTTACTTGGCAGGACAATTGCACAAAAACGTTTGATGTTGAATCACAAGCTATTTTCAAGGTTCATACACACAAATGGGTTCAAATATAAGCAAATTAAAGCCCCAGTATTTATGAAATATGCTCTCGTTTCCTTTCTACTTGCCAACTATTTAACCTGGTCAGGAGATAAATTCACGTGAGATTAATACTAGGGCGCCAACTTCAGATTCCTCCTGGGTTTCCTTGAAATGAGGTATCCTTCACTTCCTATCCTGCACGGTTTTGTAATGCAGCTGCACATTGTTGAAAAATTGCCACAATTCATGGCAGGGTGGCTGCACTTCAGCAATGAGCAAAGTTATTTGGAATACATACATCTATATTTGCATGCTTGTGAAGCTTACACGTCTGGCTTGTTAAGCTCTAGGAAGCTCTTTGATGGACAACACCATGGTACACAGTGGATGGCAATTAAGCCATTAATGAACCTGAGTAAAGAGAGGATGATCATCAACACCATGAACTCCAAAGGAGTATTTTTGTAATTCGAAAGGATAAATGCTCCTGTGGAGCAGAAAAAAAAACCAGTACAAGATGAAGAAGAGGTGAAAAATCCTGTTCACAGCCAATGACCCCCTACGTGGGTAAAACCAGGTGACCTCGAGGGTCTCCTTTTCTTGCATGGTGCACCAGTGAGGGATGTGATTGTGGGGAGCTGGCTGGAGGCAGCTCCTACTGCCACTCCTGCTCTGTGCCTGTATGTCTGCCAGGGGCAGGCCAGGCACTGGAGGGCACAGTGGGGAGTGCTCTGAACTGGCCTTACAGTCATTCTTCCAAAGTTTTGGGCTTGCTTGCCTCCTTCTTTCTTCTGCCATAGGATAGAGATGGAGCATTTAGCCTGACAGCATAAACACCTGTTTTGGAGCAGCATGAGACAAGGGAAAGAGAAGCAGAGATTTTGGCTGTAATCTCAGTGCTCCAGTCTTTCCTGGGAACTGAAGCACATGACCACACAGGTACAATAGGGGGAAGGTACTTGGTGACTGCAAATAGTTCAACAGAGCCCCAGTGACATTTACTCTGGCATAAAAGTGTGATGACTGGGAGAGGGAAGAGCTGGGGATCATTCAGATCCACAGTGGATTAACTAAACTTCTGCAAACTAAACTCACAACCTATGTCAGCTATAACCCAGGAACATGAACAACAGATTTGCTCAGGAGCCATCTAGTTAGGAACTGGAAAAAAAATATCCTCTCCTTGCAACACATAGTGGCTGGCACAGTAACTCTATTGGTCTGTCCTTGTTTGGTCTTTAAAGAAAGGTCTCATTGCCTCCCAGATGTGCCCATTCTGTAAGTACTTTTGGTGCCCTTATGCCTACACAGCTCCTGAGAAAAACGTGGAGCAGAAGCCCACGCTTTTCCCATCTTTTTATTTAAACCCAAACAGTGTGTCATGAGCTTTTTTAAGTCGATGTGATGAAGGCCTCCTCCAAAAGGCCAGAGGGAGGTGGGCACAAAAGGTCTGACAACACTCCTGATTGTATACCTCCCCATGGCGCTGGGTTGGTCCCTGGGCTAGTGGAGCGGCTGCATAGCCCTGCTAGCCATCGGCACGGAAGCTGGGAATGGAAAACAATTTTGATATTGGCAGCCTGGAGTCCTGCCCTTCGTAAACACATTTGATGTTCATACATGGTCTCTTGGCTGCTGCTGCTGGAGACCATCTGTTGGGATGGCTTCGTGCCTGATCAAATGGTGGTATGCCAGTTTCACTGGAACATGAAATAGATGCCAAACAAAACGCGTCTGGTTTTACTTCTATTACTCTGAATTCAAAGCACATGCTAATACTAATCCCCCTTTTAACAGTTGTGTTGTGGTGCCAGTTAAACCTTTGTTTTTCCCGCTATCTGCCAGATTTCTACCACGTACTTAGGCACTTAGCAAAATCCAGCAGAAATCAGCACATTTGACTTCACACAAACAGGGCACTATTTACAGGGGCTTGGTGAGAGGTGTTAGAGCTAATGACAGAGATGAGCCTGTGAGAGTTTCCTATACACGTAATACAGGATCCTTGAAGGATCTGGACAAGGACATTTCTTTAAAAATTGCTCCTGAAACCACATCCAGCTATCATAAAATGTCCTGTTTGATGAAAATGCAACTTACCAATTTTAAAATGCTAGCATAAACTAGGCATATTTTTTTTAAAAAGATGTTACCAAATGTGCAAAGGCTTTTAGCTTTATGTGAGTACTAATCTGAGATGCACCAAAGACATCTTCTTTTCTACGTGCTAAGAGTTCACCATAGCTCCAATCCTGTTCTATAGTAAAATCTTCCGTGCTGTAGCTGGCTTTGCTGTCTGGGTTTATATGACTAACTCCCTCTGAATGTTCCACATTCAGAGAAGTGTGTTCCTGACCTCAGCCAAGATGAATATTACTGTGAAAACTGCCATCATTACAGCTACTGTGGGTTTTCAGATTCCTCTAGTGTTTTGTGGGGAAACTCCATCTGCTACAGATGTTCCCTTGGGTGATGGATTTCCTCCTGTAGTCCCATAGTGGATCAAGAAAGCGTAAGGGAACATCTGATGCTTGCTTTTTGTCCTCCTTCTGCTGTGCAATGCTAAGAGTCTGGACATCTTGGACACCTCCTGCCACATCCTCCTCCTCCCTTGGCATTAGCCTTCCCTGGCAGGATCCTTGCTGTGTGTAGGGTAGGCCAGACCTAGATGTGCCAGCTGAGGTTCATGGTTTTAGGAAGGGCTGGGACTTAACTACTCCATCATGTGCTTAAGTCCTCAGCTCCTGGATTCATAATGATTTAAACCACTTCATTTTGTCAATGATGCAACAGATTCCTGTGTTATTATAATTTAATAAACATAATTAACATTTTTAACCAGCTTGCTTACATTCCCATCTTGTATATTCCTAAAGTAAAATTTAGTGTAGAAATCTGAAAAAAAAAAACCCAAAACATTCACAGTTAAGGAAAATTGGGGAATGTGGAGATCAGTTTCTGCTTGGTTTAGCACTGAACTACCAAAAAAAGAAAACTAAATAAAAACGTGTATCTCCCAAGTAAACATGGCAGGGCCAGGAGCATAGGCCAACTGGTGGCATCTGGACTGGCCATAAAATTAAAAATAAACTTAAGAGTAAATGTGCAGCTAAATGCAGACTGTGGGGATAGGATGTGAACTTCAGCTATTTCCTGCAGCTAGTGTGGTTCCAAAGTTTAACAGCTTTAGCCTTTGGAGACCCGGAGGCGTGCATACTTGTTTTCAGTTTCTGCTCCTTTCATCTCCCCCCACTCGGAGCCCTACACACCTCCCAGCTGCCCTGCTCGCTCCATCTCTCCCTGCAGAAGGACACTCCTCTTACCCTCTGATGAATGTCCCACATGGCTTCAGCACAGAGCATCACCACACAGCAACAGCGATGCCTCCCTTACTGTCCTTGTGTTGTCTGGCCTGCTCTGGCAGGATGGGGGCTCCCATTTCCATTTTGCCCTCAAGGCTCATCAGTCTGCAAAAGATTGACTCCTACCTGCTGAGTACCATCCAGGAAGATGAGCAACTGACAGCTACTCTCTGGGCATGCTGGCTCATGCATGACAATTAAGCCTTTTATGGTGACTTTCAGCCCCAAACTTTCCTTTTTTTTTTTTCATGATTTTGTTGTTAAAATAACCACAGAGGTAACATGGAAGGGTTAATGGAATAGCTAATACATCCTTATCTCACAGAGGCTGTATGATAGCAATCTGACAGAGGCTGTATGATAGCAAAGAGGTATTTTCAGGCATAAATTTATTACTAGGAGATGTACTACAAAGCTTGAAAGTATCTCACTAAGCTTCACTTGAGCCTTGTGTTCTCTTTGCTTGTGACCCTTGTGCCTGCATTGACTTAAGGCCAAATTCAATCGAGGAATGTATTTCTAAAGTGTGTGTTGATATTTCTCTCATAGAATCGTAGACTCATAGAATGGTTTTGGTTGGAAAGGACCTTAAGATCATCAAATTCCAACCCCCCCCGCCATGGGCAGGTATGCCTCAACCTAGACCATGTCACCCAAGGCTCTGTCCAACCTGGCCTTGAATGCTGCCAGGAATGGAGCATTTATGATAAAACTTTAATTTTATGCTCTTTTTGCCTGACACCGTATGATAGTTTTCTTTGTTAAAATAAAAATGCACATAAGAACAAACTCTACTGTAAATCTTTGAATGCCTTATATTGTGTTCCATAATCCAAATTACATTGTTCCAATAGTGCCAAACTCCTAACACAAGTCTCCAAGATACGTATGTCCCCCACTTCTCCCTGGTTGTCAGTGACACTCAGCAAGGTACTTTCTATCAAAACCTTTTCTCGTCACCTGCTGAAATCCTCAACTTTTCACAGTAACAGACAGAAAAAAAAAACACCAAAAAACCCACAACCCAGAATGGGTAAATAGCAGAAGAAAACTGGGGCACATTTTCATAAATTTTCAATAAATTTGTTTACACTTTTGAAATTTAAAGGGGGAAGATGAACAAAGATGTGTACATGTAAACCTTAGTCAGTCTAGTTCTTGATTTTGCCTTGAAGAAAATGTGTTGAATAGAGTCAAAAAATGAAAGAACAATGTAATCTGCAAACATGACAGTGAAGGCTTTCTTACGGGAGACAGAGAGAAAAAAAAAAAGAAAACTAAAAAGGTCCCTTCCAACCCGAACTCTTCTATGAGTCTACGACTCCACGTATCTGTACCTGTACCTGTGCATTATTACAAATAAGGCAAATAACATATTGTCACAGAAGATATCAGAAAATCACAAAGATGAATAGGTATCTGTGTTTCTGAAAATTTTACTTAAATGAAGGGCTTTCCATTTCCCCCAAAATAATTTTCTCTTCATGCTAAAAGTCAGTGAAGACAGAAGTCAGAGTCTCACAGAAGGAATTTTGAAGAGGAAAACACTAGATTTAAGTCTCTCCTTTTTCTTTGTCAATAAAGACTTGACTGCAGACAGATTTTTCCATATGATGCCTTTATGTTTGCGTACATTTAGCATATAGCTACACTACCACTGACCCCTTCAGGTCCATCACTGCTTTGAGCTTACAAAACTATCAATCCTGCAAATGGTCTATCAAACTGATGCCTGTGAGGAGAAAATTCCTTAGCGTGCTTAAGCCCATGTGGTAGTAAGTGAAGCAGTTCTCAAAACAAAG